GAAAGAAGGGCCTTCCTCCACTATTGTTGACATGCACAAAAGACAAAAATCAGGGCGCTGTATCTTTCAATGTTCTAGCGGAAGATTCACTCTCCTTTTGCACAACTACTCTCAAAATGTGCAAAAAGAGAGTGAATCTTCCGCTAGAGCATGGAAAGATGCACCGCCACGAGGCCCCAAGGATGACACGCATAGGTCGGGAACTCTGGGAAGGAAAAACAAAAGAGAAAAAAAAAAGAAAAGAAACTGGGTCGTTGTCAGCACGTGTATCCCCTAGGGCCTCTGCGTTGTTGTCAGCCCGTGTATCTCGTTGGGCCCCTGTATACCCGTTGCACAAAAGACAAAAATCATGGCGCTGTATCTTTCCATGTTCTAGAGAAGATTCACTCTATAAGAAGGGGGACAAGAGGAGCATCAGGAACTTCCGCCCCATATCCAGACTAAATGTTTCCTACAAACTGCTGTCCAAACTGCTCCCGAGAAGGCTGGCACCGCTGCTGCCAGAACTTATCCAAACTGATCAGGGGGCCTTCATTCAAGGGAGGTCTATTGCAGAGAACATCTTCGTTGCTATGGGTGCCTTGGAGATAATTCAGAAAGAGAACCGGCAGGTTGCAGTGGCCATGCTCGATCTGGAGAAAGCCTACGATCGAGTTAACTGGTCTTTTGTGCTGGCAACTCTGGAGCATATGAATTTTGGCACCTGCTATCGACACTGGGTGACAGAGCTCTATACGGATGCAACAGCAATTGTCCTGGTCAACGGTCATCAGTCACCATTGTTCACTCTGACCCGCTCTCTCAGGCAGGGCTGCCTGCTGGCTTCTCTCCTCTTTGCCATCCAGATGGAAGTGTTGCTCAACAGTCTTCGCTCCTCCCCAAGAATCAAAGGGCTCCAATTGGGGCCGGGCCAGACACTCCTAACGGGAGCCATTGCTGATGACCTTCTTCTAGTCGCAGAGGCAGAACCGGTCACGATGAGGGAGATCAAGACACAACTTGATGCCTATGCCACTCTCTCCGAGGCGCAGGTCAATTGGGCCAAGTCACTCTACTTCCTGCCTGAGGACTACAACCTGGAGGAAGACTGGGGTATGAAGAGAATAAGGACTGTCGACTCGGAAAGATATCTTGGGGTGCAAGTGTCGCTCACCAATGCTAGATCAGACCAAGATAGCATCCTTGCAGCCAAGACAAGGGCCAAGCTGCACGCCTGTCGAGCGACAACAGGCTTTTCACTCTTTGGTAGGGCGTTAATTATAACTGCTGCAGTTTTCACCCAGATTTGGTACATTGCGGCTGTTTATCTTATCTCCAGACCAACAATAGCGCTGTTGAAGCGAGACGCGGCACGCTATTTATGGAAGCCATGTGCCGATGAAGAGGAGGGTTACGTTACCAAGTGTGCTTGGAGTAAGATCACTCAGCCTAGGGAGCAAGGTGGCCTGGGCATTATCGATCCAACAACGCAGAACTTGGCCCTCCTTTTCAAATGGTTTGTAAGGGCCTGCACACAGTACGAGTATCGGAAGTGGCTTGCTGTATTCGAGTACCTGGCACAGGCTGAATTTCGTCTTAAGGAGCCCCAGCATGTTTGGACTTGTCTGTGGATGGAGTCATATGTATGAAGACAACCGGTGCCACTGCTGCTGAGATCGTGTTGGACGGCGTGGCGGAGTTTCTACTCGCAGCACAGGAAGGACCCAGTCACAAGGGAAGAGGTCTTGAGACAACCTCTTTTTGATAACCGATCCTTGGTTGGTGAAGGGGATAATCCCCCTCCGGCCACGGCAGCCAGAGGCGCCTTCGGGAGGAGATGGGCTGAAAAGGGAATTCTTACCATTGCTGACCTCTGGGATCACGAGGAGAACCAATGGATCTAAGAGACTGCATTGCTAGAATCGTTGGGGAGACTCCAGCATGTGGAACAGCGAAGAAGAGCCCTCATTGAGGCAATTCCACAGGCTTTGCATGATCTCCTAAGAGACGATACTCCAACTGAAGGGCAATGGTATGTCCAGAAGCAACCAGGGGAAGGCCCGCACAGGCGGATAAAAATTCTCTTTTTTGAGGAATGTTTAACAGAGGAATACATCTGTGCACAAGAATGGACTCCTGTCGATCAGACCGTCATGAAGCCAAGGCAGAGACTTACCTATGTTAAACAAATTTGTCTGCTGCTAGAGATACCGCTGGAACTCGTAAGAGTCCGATCAAGTGTCACCAGGAATGGCAACCAAACTCACGACCTCCTATTAGCAGGCAAGCCTTTTCTCAACATAAGGTTGGACCCGCTCGCACCAATGAGGAACGTAGACAACGGCCGAGTTATCCCTCTCTGCGACTTCACCACGGAGATCGGCAAAATGCTCCTGGCCAAACCATCTTCGACAGTAGCGGAGACAACTAGACGGCTGGCAAGAGTCACAACAGACCCAGTACTGCTGAAGGATCTTGACTTACTAGGAATCTGGACTCAACTCTACATGCTTCCTTCACTTAAGTTCGCCTCCCTCCTTTGGCTCCTCACACACACCATCGTCCCCTGTGTTGTTTGGCTTTTTGAAAGAGGGATGGATCTGTCCACCAAGCTCAAGGTGCGGAGGTAGAGCTGAGGAGTCACTGGGACATCTTACCTGGTCTTGCCCTGCCTCGAACCGCATCTGGAGATGGTGGGCCGATCATTGGTACCAGTTCGTGGGAAACGTACTGCAATGGGACGAGGCTTGGGTGCTGGGAGGGCAACTTTCGGCGCACTGGTTTAAAAGAACAGGAAGAGGCTACGTCGCTCAGACAATCAGATCGGTAATCCTATGGGTAATCTGGACAGACAGGAACAGTATTCTCTTTGAGCAGAAATGGTCTTCAGACACGGCCATACAGAAAAGGATCAAGGCTTTGATCCGACTTCTGATAGTCGTGGACTGGTCAAGGAGGGCAGCCAAGGGTACGTCCCCCAGGGGCACCAGATGGTTTTTGGTAACCTGGGCCAGGGATAACCAGCTTGCAGCGGTTACTGTTGAAGGAAAGATGGTGATATCCCCATGGTTGGAAGCATCAGGTTGATGGGTCACCATACAGTCTTAGTGATCTCCTTCACTCCCCCTTTCTCTCTTGCTCTCTCCATCCCCCTCACTCTTACTACTGTCCTGCAATGGAATAGGAAAGTTAGCTGTGTCAATGGTTTCCAGGAGCACTCGGATGATGGTCAGGCCGCTGTAGGCCAAAGTGATGAGAGTGTCCAGTTTTAGGTTTGGACCTGAGAATGGCAGATCCACCAGGTCGATTTGGGCCCGGGACAGGCCGGGATAGGCCTATGTACTCACCCCCCAGAACTACTTTCCCCCGCCCTACCCCTTCCTCCAGCGCACCCCCCCTAACTACCTTTTATACCCTCCCCTCTCTCACAGCAATCACACTACACCGACCTTAACCCGTCACAAGCTTCTCTTCCCACCACCTGCCCTTACCTATCTATTCGCCCATTCCCATCCTCCTTGCATCATTCAACGCTGACTACCCCCCTCCCCTTTACCCTAGGCTTAGAACACCGAGGCACTCTTAGTTAGGAGTCGAGTCTTCCCGTCGCTCAGTAGACTGTTCATATAAGCTAAACCGGCTGATGTCGTTTTGCACATTTCGATATCAATTGTGGAAACTGAGAGTGAATCTGCCCGAACATGGAAAGATACAGCGCCACTATCTTTTCTTTTCTCTTCTTGTTTCTTTTTTTTTTTTTTGGAAAACGGCCTGCCCCTCCGACGTGGATGACTAGACTGCAGTTACAAACTTTGCCCTGCCACAGCCACGTGACGGGGGAGTTTGGCCTGCAGTGTAAACTTCAGAGGGGACTGGACTCCAAAACGGAAGTTTGAAACGTATTTTCAAACTCTAACCCTGACTGCGCCCTAGTTTTCTCTTTTAGTATATCGGGCAGTACTCTTTCTTTTTTTTTTTTTGGAAGAATAGCCCCTGTGTAAGCCCACTATCCCGGCGGTGGTGAGAGAACCGTCAGGATTGAGGGCTTATCTGTCGGGCTGCTCCATCTATTGGTGGGGAGCGGCACCTGCTGGAAACCGGGTCCAGCGTCCCTTTATACATCTTTGGAATACAGAGTTTGCTGTTACTTTTTCTGGGCCACAGCCAACTTACGCTATAAATCCCTGAAACCCCATTTTCCCGTTTGATGTCCATCCTACCGACTTCAGACCCCTGATGAACTTTTTTTTTTTTTTTTTTTTTTTTTTTATTGAAAAGTGGTGCTACTATGGGGATGCATTGGTTAATGGGGGTAATTTGGTAGTAGGGCTGGTAAGGCACATACTATTGGTGGGGAGCATCACGGGTCCAGCGTCCCATAT